ATTTTTTTCTTTCTGTTACGTTGACATCGTTACCCAATAGAGTACGCCGCTTTATTCGAAGGAACAGAAAAAAGAAAAAAACAACACAAACTAAAGCGAACGCATTTAAATACTATACGCGTTGTAATATACGTAGAATACAAAACTAGTAATTTACGAACAATTTATGTATCCAAATATCGGATCAGGTTCATCATATCCATCGGCACCACCACCACCATCTACTTCAACATCAAATACTTCTACATTAGGTAATACAGGGGCACCAAAACCTGTTGGATTTTCTAGTCTAATGGCACAACCAAATAATCAAGCTACTCCTTATCCAGGTGGACAAGCATCACAAACACCATATCCACCAGGTGCTCCACCATCATCATCGTCATCTTATACTAATCCTTATGCATCAAATAATCAACCACCAAATTCAAATAATTTTTCACCATATTCTCTCCCACAAATGGGGCAACAGCCTCCACCACCACCATCACAACAAGGTTAATAAATTATTTATCATCGAAAATTGATTATATGAATATTTTTATTTTCAGGAGGTAGTAATTTTCAACAAAGTCCTTATCCTCCACAATCAAGTCCTTATCCAAGCTCAAATCCATCAGCTGGATATCCAGGAAATCCAAATTCAAATCCATCAGCTGGTGGTTATCCAGGAAATCAACCTCCACAAGGTTTATTCATTTTTAAAAATCTAAACTTTTAAATATGATTTATTTTAGGTAATGCAGGTTTTCAAAATCCATACGCTGCATCAAATCCTTATCAACCACAACAAGGTGAATAAAACTTTCTTAATTTAATTTAATAATAATTCATTTGAAATTTTTAGGTAATCCTGGCAATCAAAATCCTTATCGACCAGCAAATCCTTATGCTGCACCACAGGGTAGATAAAAAAAAGATAAAAAGTTTTAAATTACAAATAATCTCACTATCGATATATCTATCACAAGTTTTGACAGTAGTTATATACGATTTTTGAAACAAAAATAGATTACAAATTATATAGAAATAAAACTTTGAACTACAACAGAAAAAATATCAATTATAAAATTTATTTTAGGAAATGCTGGCTTTCAAAATCCATATCAATCGCAACAAGGTAATTATTCATTTAGTTTGCTTTAAAAATAAGGTAATTAATCCGTATAATATTTTTAGGCGGTTATCCTCAACAACAACCATACAATCCACAACAACAACAACAATATCCAAATCCTCAACAAGCTCCAGGTAAAATTGCATGCTGTTACTTAAAAACTGTTGAGAGAAATTCTGTGTATTTCACAAGATTTTTTTATAATACTAATGCTATATCTAATTTTAATCTTGCTTTGTAACAGGTGGTTATGGTGGCTATGCGCCATATAATCAAGCTCCACAACAATTTCAAAATCCTTATAATGCCTATCAGCCACAAGGCTAGTAGTTTTCTTGGTTGTATATATTCTATATATATTCTTCTTTTGCAGGTGGAGGATTTAATCCAAACTCATTTGGTGGAGCACCAGGTGGAGCCCCAGGTGGTCCTGGTAAGTTTTATTTAAAAGAATGAATGAATCAACAATAAAAAATTTGTTTTAGTTAATGATCGTATTCGAGCCATAGCTGGTCGATATGAAATAAATGATCAATTAGCTCAACGTTTAAATATTCTTCAACAATTTGAAATTGTTGTTCTTTGTGATGATTCCGGTTCAATGAATACACCAGTTGATGGAACAAATGGTACTCGTTGGGATGAATTACGATCTATTGTACAAATAATTATTGAAATCGGTGCCGTATTTGATTCTAATGGTGTTGATGTACATTTTCTTAATCGTCCATCAATGCCTAGCGTAACAGATTCTCGACAAGTTATGGAATCATTTAGCCAACGTCCAGCAGGTTTAACACCATTAACAACATCATTAAGACGAATCTTTCAATCTGCAGCAAGTAAACCTGGTAGTGATAAACGTTTACTTGTATTCGTTGCTACAGATGGAGCACCAACAGATCCTAATGGAAATGTTGATATACA